ACCAAAATAGAGTGAACACATCTCATATATCTGATTTACTGGTAGTCTCGAACCCATACTCGATAACGAAAAAAGTAATTTTGTCAATTGCTTTATAAATATAACTCTGCTTCATCGATAATCCCAACACAGAACATAATATGGAAAATACATGACATTCCTTAAAATATTCATCTGCCCTGTGACCCAAGGGCACTCGTGGCAATGTGGCGAAGTGGATAATGTGTCGAGATTACACGTTGCACAGTCATTATTCGACTCCTGGAGGTCGAAACTACAGTCCAGCCTGGATGAAAACACCTTTTATGAAAGCAAGGCTATGGAAAACATCAGCCCTTTTCATATCATTGTGGTAAATTTCAGCTACCATCATCACCTAACTTCATCACCTTAAACGAAATAGGGTGAAAATAACTCATATATCTGATTTTCTGGTAGTCTCGAAAACCAACTCAATAATGAAAAAAGAAATAATCTCAATATGAATTCATCGAATTTGCAAAACAGCCTACAGAGGGCTCTCACATTAAAATCAAAACTGACTACTCCAAACTAACCATTTAACCTTTTCGTCTAACTTATAGGTTGAATTAAATTATCAAAGTAATTTTCAAAGCCCAGCTTTCTTGGCCTAGTGTTAACGTGAGACTTTTACAGGAATGAGACCTAGTTCTGATGATGTCCATCATGTGATGGACGAAAGCTCAGCACGTTTTCACCCGAAACGAGAGATGGGGTCTCTTGGACTGCGTCAACCTGAACTACCACAGTACAACGGGATTCATTCGTCCTCTTCTGGTGAGATCGACCTACGAATCTCTTCTTCATGCACTTTCATACGAAATGAAAGTTCCCCCAACATCAGCATCACTCGAAGGTATGAAGACCAAGATGATGTGGCCTTTTGTGTGGTCGCAGTCTCCTTTCGTTGTACAGAAGTTGGTTGACCTTGTTTTCACAACTTGGTCATATTGGCAGGAAGACTTAGAGGAACGCACCTAGTCCGGAGTCCAT